ACACCCCTGGAGAAGCGGGAGAAGCAGGAGAAGCGGTCCAGTGAGGGGTACATCCACAGGATGACTTCTGGAGGCTTCTCCTCGGGGATCCCAGGAAGGGTGACAGGGCCCCTGACCTGAGTTCCTGGAGCAACCAGGAGATCTTGGGTCCAACAGGGAGGGGAGTACAGGCCGGGAGGGGCCAGTGTGGTCGTGCCCTGCACGGGCCGCCTCACCCAGCCCAAAGCCCCACACCCCACTGATGCCCCAGCAGTGGACCCCCTCCCCAGGTTCCTCACCGAGACACGCGCCTGTCAGTCATCAGGCTTCTAAACAGCTGGAATTCAGTCCGCCACCTGCAAAGTCCTCACCCATCTGCCAGCCACGTTTGGTGGCCATTCCAATCCAGGCCACGGGCTATGGCTCTCGGGACAGCCTGGGCCCTGCTCAGAGCACAGAGACACCCCTGAGGCACAGCAGAGACCCAGGCTACCCCAGCCACTGGGCCAGCCTCAGGGACGGCACAGGCAGGAGGCCCGGGCCCCTCCAAGGATGCCTGCTGCCCAGAGACAGCAGCCCCTGCCCTGCCAGGCGCTCAGGGGTCCCAGGCAGGGTGTTCTCACTACGCCCAGCGCATGGCCGGCTCCAAGCCCAGCCTCCTCTACCGGCTTGCCCCCAGCACCCTGGGGCAGCTCCTCCCCACCCCACAAGCCCCACACTGGCCCTCTGCCACAGAGGGCAGGGGGTGAGCAGGCGTGCTGAGGAAGCCCTGGCCCCGGCTCCAGAAGCAGGGTTCACCCCCGAGGCGGGAGGGGCAGGCGGGGTGGCAGCTGCCAGCCCTCGAGGGCAGACCCAGTCTTTGATCAGGGGCAGCCCTCATGCCAGCTGCCAGGAGGCCGGGTTGCGGGGGGGCGTCTGCTGGGACTGGCGTCCCAGCGCGGCACAGGACTGCAGGGCGCAGGGCGGCCTCCCGGCCGGCGGAACAACTTCAAAGACACGGCCAGGGGGCGCCGGGCAGCCCCAGCCTCTCCCAGAGCCCGGTTCTGATCGCCAGTAAAACTACCTTCTAATAATTAATGCCTGACATCAAAGGCAGGAACCGCCCGGGTCTGTGAACCACCCCGGGCCTCGGCCGAGGACCTGCCTGTATTTTATCCTGTCTCTTTCTTCTGACTCTTTATTTAAATCCAAAAACCACACACAGGCAAAACATTAATGGGAAACTTGGAAACTTTCTTTGCTTACTAAAGTGTACCTTTGAAGTTCCCCCAAAAGGTTCTGTTTTGTTCCCTACTCCCCTCCCCCCAGCACTGAGGGACCCAGCGGCGAGCGGGATGTGGCCTTGGGCCCTGTGCATGTGCGGCTGGCAGTGACTCTGGGCACTGGGCGGGCAGGACGCCCTCCATCCATCAGCAGCCCGAGCCCCAGATCAAAGGCCCTCAGGACACCCTGCAGGTGAGGCACACGCCCCTTCCCAATCCCTCCTGCCCACCGGCACCTTCCCAGGGGCAGGAACGGGTGGGCGCTGCTCTGGGCTTCGAGCTCCATGCTCCACCAACAGGCCCTGCCCTGGGCACAGAGGGAAAAAGGGGCTGAAGCCCATGCCTCTAGAATGGAGGAATGTGACCACCACCGTTTCCCTCACACCTAGGGGTCCCCACAAGGGCAGGCCAAGGAGGCGTTACCCCTGCTCACCCAGAGCACACGGACCTGTCTCCAGCCTCCGACTCTGGCTCAGATGTCACAGTGCAGAGTTCCCAGAGGGAGGATGGGGTGCCACCAGCATCAGAGTGCCAGAATGGACCCAACGCCCCCACTCCCCACTCCTTTGTCCACTCAAAAGGGAGGGCAGTCCCAGGATGGCCAGGGGCACAAAAAGCGGAGGGGCTGGACCTTGACGCCAGGCTGGATAGGAGCCCTCACGCCCCGCAGAGTGCGGACAGCCGGCCTCTGCCCTCCCAGGTGTGGCTGGAGGCAAGAGGGAGGGGTGGGGGAGCTTCACTCAGAAGCGGCCAGAGGAGGACAAAGCGAACTCCCGACCTCACCTGAGGTCAGGGACACAGAGCATGAATGCCCAGGGCACAGCCAAGGCTGGGGCTGTGTACACAGAGCACTCCTGGCCACTTCTAGTTATTTATTTTTTTTTGAGATGGAGTTTTACTCTATCATCCAGGCTGGAGTGCAATGGTGCAGTCTCGGCTCACTGCCACCTCCACCTCCTGGGTTCAACTGATTCTCCTGCCTCAGCCTCCCAAGTAGCTGGAACTACAGGCACCCACCATCATGCCCAGCTAACTTTTTTATTTTTAGTAGAGACAGGATTTCACCAGGCTGGTCTCAAACTCCTGACCTCAGGTGATCTGCCCACCTCGGCCTCCCGAAGTGCTGCGATTGCAGGTGTGAGTCACCACATCTAGCCCAGACAAAGATATTCTACATGTCCACAGGAAATGGGGGCATGGGGGCCTTTCAGGCCAACTACATCAGCAGGAGCTCAGGCAACTCTGGTCCAGCCCTACTAAAAATTCAAAAATTAGCCGGGCATGGTGGTGAATACCTGTAATCCCACCTACTTTGGAGGCTGAGGCAGAAGAATCGCTTGAACCCGGGAGGTGGAGACGGCAGTGAGCCGAGATGATGTCACTGTACTCCAGCCTGGGTGACAGTGAGACTCCGTCTCAAAAAATAAAAATAGGCCGAGTACAGTGGCTCACGCCTGTAATCCCAGCACTTTGGGAGGCTGATGCCAGCTGGCAGCCAGCAGCCTGGCCCTCAGGGGACATAGGGGCTGGGAAACAGGTGAGGAAGCTGAGAAGTCACGCTCAAGCAGCCCAGGCGCAGGGGTCCCATGCGGGGCCAGGACGGGGACGGAGGGAAAGTCAGCCCAGGTGCAGGGCTCTCATGTGGGTCAGGACGGGGACAGAGGGAAAGTCAGCCACAGGGCCAGGAAGCCCATGCACCTGTGGTCACCCCGAGGCGTGAGGCACAGGGTCAAGCCACAACCGCACACGGCATTCACAGGTCAGCACCTCGTCTCCTGCTCACAGTCAGTCGCTCCCCAAGGGCCCAGCGCCCCAGTGCTCGGTGGCGTCTGCAGTGAGCAGTGGCCATACCTTTGGGGAACTTCCAGAACCCAGAAAAGAGCAGCCACTGCCTAGCTCTCTCGTGAGCTAGGTGAAATCTGATTCCCAAGCGGGATGAAGACAGAGCAGGGAAAAAGGTCAGCCTCACTTATGAACGCAGACGCACAAGCCAATAAATAAAGACTAAGAGCATCTCCACTGATGCCGGAAACGTGGAAACAGTTCAACACCTGCTCAGATTTTTCTAAATGTCAGAAATTAGGAACAGTAACTTTCTCAGCTTGATAGAGGCTTTTATCACACATCATCCTTTGCAGAGAAACTATTAGTAATCCATCTTAAGATCAAGAAAATAAAGGATGCCTGGTGGTCCGCTGGCTCCTGCCTATAATCCCAGCACTTTGGGAGGCTCAGGAAGGCAGATCACGATGTCAAGAGACGGAGACCATCCTGGCCAACATGGTGAAACCCTGTCTCTACTAAAATACAAAAAAATCAGCTGGGCATGATGGCGCATGCCTATAATCCCAGCTACCCGGGAGGCTGAGCCAGGAGAATCACTTGAACCGGGGAGGTGGAGGCTGTAGTGAGCTGAGATTGCACCACTGCACTCCAGCATGGTGACAGAACAAAACTCTGTCTCAAAAAAAAAAAAAAAAAGACACACAAGAAAGGATGCCCACTAAATTGCCACTATCCAGCAAGCACCAGAGGCCAGGTCACTGCAACACAGGAAGAAAAACGCAGAGGACAAAGGAAAAGGGATTTGCAGAGACCCTGACAGAAACCCACACACCGCTAGAATAAGGAGTCAGCCAGTCAAAAATGTAACAGGCAGCATGACACTACCCGCAGTATCACAAAAGGTGACTTTCAGGCCAGGGGCAGTGGCTCGCCAGTCATCCCAGCTTTTTAGGAGGCTGAGGCAAGAGGATTGCTCGAGCCCAGGAGTTATAGACCAGCCTGGGCAACAGAGAGAGGCCTCGTTTTTATGAAAAATAACAATAAATTAGGCCGGGTGCAGTGGCTCACGTCTATAATCTCAGCACTTTGGGAAGCCAAGGCAGGTAGATCACGTGAAGGCACGAGTTCGAGACTAGCCTGACGAACATGGTGAAACCCTATCTCTGCTAAAAATACAAAAATTAGCCGGGCGTGGTGGTGCACACCTGCAATCCCAGATACTCAGGAGGCTGAGGCAGGAGAATCGCCTGAACCCTGGAGGCGGAGGTTGCGGTGAGCCAAGATTGCACCATTGCACTCCAGCCTGGATAACAAGAGCGAAACTCCGTCTCAAAAATAACAAAGTGGACGCCTTGGTAAAGGTGGTTGAAAAAATCAGAAAAAATAAATAAATAAATAAATAAATAAATAATAATAATAAAAAAATAACTTCCCTGAGCAGCAGCCCAGCAACCCTGTTCAGGTAGGAGGTGGGACTTGATTTGGACCAGACTGAAGACTGGCTGAAGGCCCAACACCACCACCACTTACCCTTCCCCTGGCCACAACCTGGAAGTCACCCCCTCTAATCTGGAGATCACAGAATACCCCACCCCTTAACGCGCACGTAGTTAAGAACGGATGTAAATGTGACCACACCCTGCCCTGAGCTGCTGCCCTCCATGCACTGCCCAGGGCAGCCCTGCTCTGTGCCACGCTAGGGAGCCGACAAGGTTGCCGCCTCATCGTAGAGCGAACACGGCCTCGTCCCGGAGCAGACCCGGCCACCGGCTCAGGAAAGCTACCCCACCACCCACCTGCCCCCCGACTTCCTTCCTGGGCGAAACCAGAACCATCCTGGCCGGAGTCCCAGCTTTGGGCTCCTTTGTCCTGTTATCACTGCCATGCCACCAGGCTGACCAGCCAAAGCCACATGGTGCCTCCTCGTCAGAAGAAAGGACACCCCCAAGTCCCAAGGCCCGGGGCCCCTTTTACCGGCTCTGGCTCTGGCTCCTGCTGGGGATCCTGGCCAGGCTTGGACTTCTTTGGCTTGGAGGGGCCTCCAGGGCTGGAGAGGGACTTTGGCAACTTGGCTGACGATGAAATCAAAGGTCTCACGGGCCCAGAGGGGCCCCCCAGTCGCTGTCCCCCGCCCGAGAAAGGAACAAAGCGGGCAGGCATGGGCGCCCTCACGCTCTGCTTCTCCTGTGAATCCTCACAGCTGGACCCCACGGTGTCCACGTCCTCCTGATGGCTCAGGTCACCACGGCAGAGCTCCCCAGATTCCAAGGGCAGTGGAGGGCTGGCGGCTGCCTGGCCAGCCGATGCTGATAGGCCCAGGCTTCCTGGGGTCTTGCCCACGGGGTCACAGTGCTTCATGACAAACCTGAGTGGGGCCGGAGGACCAGGGAAGCGTCTCAGCGTCTCAGGGCGTCCTGCTGGCCCCCAACTCACCCTCTCCCGCCCTACATGCCCTCCCGAGATCCACCGACACTCTGGGAGAAGCAGAGTGAGACTGGACAGCCCAGCCCCCTCAGCAGCCCAGGGCGGAGGTCACCAGGTGCCAGCCCCCAGGCTCACAAGCGGACACAGGCCACCAGGCGCCCATCCACGGCGAGGGCGCTGAGCACACATTCTCCCCCACTCTCCAAGTTTCCTTTCTCCTTTCCTTTGAGATCCCTTTTCTTAGCTAAATAGACTCCCGGCCCCAGTGGCACTGCCCTTACCTGATGGAGGCACTGCCCCCAGTGAGGCCCAGCGACAGCAGTGTGGTGTCCCTCAGGGCAGCTTCACCCGTCACCTGCGGGAGGAGCAACAGGACAGGTGGGCCTCATACAGGGACCCCGGAGCCCAGGGAAGCCCTCTGGCCTGTAGCTCCAGGCACCGGCATCACCAGAGCCACAGGCCTCACGGTCCCTCCAGCCTCCGTCCTACCCATTCCCCACGTCTGGCCCCCGACGGTCCATACCCTCCGAGAGGAGCAGCTGGAGTCTGGCCTGTAGCCCGGAAAGGACTTGCTGCCTAGGCCTGGACCGTGTCTCCCGGAGCCTCGTCTCCCTAGCTGGGACCCAAGCTCAGAGGCCTGGGCTGGCAGAGCTGGGCTGCAAGGAGGATGCCTGGCAGCCAGGACCCACTGCCCAGAGCCCAGGGCCAGGGCGGGAGAGGCAAGAACGTGCCATCACCACAGGGGCAGGGAGGGGGCCTGGGCAAGAGAATCTATGTCTTCGAGGCTGAGCCGGCCAGGCCCCTGGGCTGGGGTCATCCCAGCTCCTTGCTGCCTGCTAGACCTCCGCAGCCGCGGTCACTGCTGGGAGCCCACAGCACCTGGCGGGCAGAGGGCAGGCCAGCAGCACCCACCCTTCAAAAGCCTCTGAGCTGGGTGGGCCCCAAAATCACAACACCCAGCTTCACAGGCTCTGGTGCCCGGCCGCGCCGCCGCCTGCCCCGCTGCTACCTCTCCCAGGCCTGGCTGTCTCGGGACCCTGCGCCAACATCCTCCAAGTCCCCTGCTTCAGGGCATCCCCAGTGCTGGACTTGGGGTGGGCAGGGCTCGGGCCAGGCTGGCCGGGTCCCCCACACTAGCTCTGACCCTGTGAGGAGGGGGTGGAGAAGCTGCCCCTGGTAAGGATACAGTCAAGGGCCCCGCACAGAAGCCAAAGGCTGCAAGGGTCCCCGGGGGCTGGAGCCTCAGGCCGGTGCTGGGCCAGGGGTGCCTGAGCCCCGTGGCTCATCTCTGAGGGAGGACATAGCCTTCCCCTTACAGCTCTGACCAGGGAGCTTCCAACTACGGATAAATGGGGGGAGTGTCCCGTCCACGCCAGGGCCCCCCAGGGCCCCCCTGGGACAGTGCCCCACCAACCCCAGCAAAGGGCGCTCAGCCAGAATGGAAACAAAAGGCCCCTGTAAGCCAGGGCAAGCTCAAGGAGGGTCCCGCCGTGGCAGGCCTTGCTTGCGCTATGCCACGCTCGGTTTTGAAAATGATCAAAACACCGAGCAAAGCAAATATTTATTAAATGAAACCACTTTTGTGACTCTTGGGCTTTGAGAGAAGCTGAGAAAACAAACAGGGTGGTGAGGGAGGTTTCGGGGCAGCCGGGGCTCCCAGGCCGGCCACTCCCTCTTTTTCCATGAAACACGTCGTGCTTTCAAGAGCCCCAGTCTCCCGCCACTGCCCTGGAGACGGCGGTGGGAGAGCGGGTTTTCCAGCTGGGAAGTGGGCTCAGCCTGAGCGGGGACTGGGTGGCCTACCTCATCCCTCGTGTACACGCACACTGGGGTCGCCCCACCAGGCTGCTGCAGGCAGTCCCTGGGAGGAGAGAAAAGAAACCGTCAGGCACACGCAGGGCACCCTAGGGCGCCTCGGGGCAGGAGGTTCAGGAGGCAAAGGTGTGAGGCCCTCACCCAGCCCCCACCCAGGACAGCGTCCCAGGCCCCCACTGCACCCAACAACCACCGGGAGGAGATAGCTGTGACAGTGCGGGAACTCCCAAGGAGCCTGGCCTGCAGCGCAAGGCCTAAGGGCTCCCCCAACCTCAAGTCTCAGGGCCACTGGCAGGACGTGGCGCCACCAGGCAGGGCCCAGAGGCCACACGGGAGGGCTGAGCCAAACTGGCTTGGGAACTCGGCTCCTGGCCACTTGTACTTCAGACGCCTGAGGGTGGGGTCCCAAGGTCTGGGCTTTCATCTAAAGCTGCCCTCTGAGAGGAGGCGCCCTGTCTCCACTGCCTGCTGTCTCCCTTCAATGCCGATGCCTGAGTCACCAAAGCAGGGAGGGTGGGATACTGCACTCCACTCAGGCCCACTTGCCCACCGCCTGGGAGGCCACGATTGTGAGTCCCTGCCGGCCTCTGACACCAGGGTCTTTCTGAGCCCTGCCCCCCAGGAGGCACAGGTGGACCGGTCTGGGGATGAGCGTGTACACACGGCACACCTAACCACACGCCCGAAGTGCACACCAGCCGGGGTCACAGAGGCACACATCCCCACGTCCCCGCCCCAGGTAGCACTTGCGCATGACAGGGTTCATCTCCACATTTCCAACTCACCGTGTGAAATCCTCCCCATTGAGAAAAACAAAAGCCCATCTCAGCCCTCACTTGGAGATTCCCCCATCAGTCCCTCTCCAAGGAGGGGAATCTGAGAGGAGGAGCAGAGGGCCAGAGCCCAGGCCGAGGGGAGGCCAGGCCCAGCCTCACATCACGCAGGTGCCCTGCCAGGCCTTACGGCCAGCGTGGCCTGCAGAGGCTCAGTCGGGACAGGAAGGCGCAGGAGCCGAGCGGATGACCTGAACACAAAGCACGGAGACTGAGTAAGAGCTGGGCTGGAAAGAGCGCGCAGCAGCACCCCGGGATGGGGCAGGCTGGGGGGCCGGCGGACAAAGAGCCTGCAGCGTCCAGGTCAAAGCACACACGCACAACCAGGCACGTCCGCGCGCACATCCGCACGGACGCCCACGCCCGCACCCGCGCACATCGCCCGCATCCAGACACATCACCGGCATCCGCGCACATCGCCCGCATCCAGACACATCACCGGCATCCGCGCACATCGCCCGCATCCAGACACATCACCGGCATCCGCGCACATCGCCCGCATCCAGACACATCACCGGCATCCGCGCACATCGCCCGCATCCAGACACATCACCGGCATCCGCGCACATCGCCCGCATCCAGACACATCGCCGGCATCCGCGCACATCGCCCGCATCCAGACACATCGCCGGCATCCGCGCACATCGCCCGCATCCAGACACATCGCCGGCATCCGCGCACATCGCCGGCATCCGCGCACATCGCCCGCATCCAGACACATCGCCGGCACCCGCGCACATCGCCCGCATCCGCGCACATCGCCGGCACCGCGCACATCGCCCGCAGCCGCGCACACCCGTGCCCGTCCGCCGGCACCCGCGCAAATCGGCGCACAGACGCACATATCCGCCACATCCGCGCATGCGCACATCCGCCCGCAGCTGCGCACATCCAGTCACATCCGCCCGCATCTGCGCGCATGCGCATACATCCGCGCACGCGCAGGTCCTCCCACATTAGCGCACATCCGCCCGCATCCTCCGGCATCCGCGCACATCCAGGGACATCCGCCGGCATCCGCGCACATCCAGGGACATCCTCCGGCATCCGCGCACATCCAGGGACATCCTCCGGCATCCGCGCACATCCAGGGACATCCGCCGGCATCCGCGCACATCCAGGGACATCCGCCGGCATCCGCGCACATCCAGGGACATCCTCCGGCATCCGCGCACATCCAGGGACATCCGCCGGCATCCGCGCACATCCAGGGACATCCGCCGGCATCCGCGCACATCCAGGGACATCCGCCGGCATCCGCGCACATCCAGGGACATCCGCCGGCATCCGCTCGTATCCCTGGCCCACCCCGCGTCCGCGCACATCCCGCCCGTATAGGCGCACATCCGTCTACATCGCCTGCATCCGTGCGCGTCGCCACACGCATCCAAGCGGAGAAGGCTCCCGGGCCAGGAGCGCTCAGCCTCCACCTGAACCCACCTGTGAGTTTCCAAGCTTAGGGCCGGCCGTGCACTCACCAGGGCCCCCCACACTGGGATCTGCGGACCCGCTCGAAGAAGCAGGACTCGCCTTCGTGAAACGAGAAAGGCCCCAGCAGAAAAGCAGGAGGTGCCGCACGCGGAACAGGCCCAGCCGGCCGCGGGGGACTCTCCGCCACGTGCGTGGGTTTGACGTGTTTTCTTTTGTTTCCTGGCCTGTATCTTTCACGTCCATGCTTTCCTCACTCCGCGTGGCGGGCGTCCCTCCCCCGCCCAGGCCCCAAGCCTCGTCCGGCTGCAGAAGCCCAGCAGGGCCATGGGACTGAGGGGGCTCGCTGTCTGCAGCGGAGCCCCAACCCCGACGGCCTCCTGCCTGTGGAGTGCGTGCGCGCCACGCACACGGCAGGTGTTCTCTGCACACAGGCTGGGACACGGCGCTGAGCTCCCATCCCGCGGAGCAGCCAACAGAGGACCTTGGATTTGCCCTCCCTCCAAACGGACTCAGGAAAACACAAGATCCCAAAATTCGCCAGAGAAGAGCCCGGACAGAGGCTGCGAAAGGCCTCAGGGAAGCACAGACCCCAGGGCCGCGGATGGGGATGGGGACGGGGAGGGTGCAGGGACCCAGCTCCCCAACATGACACGGACGGCCAGGGCCCCGGAGATGGTCATGAAACCGCTGGGCAATGGCTGGGGAGCCCTGGGCTGCGCGGTGCCAGAGTCCCTACTCGCAGTCTTCCCGCCCCGAGCGCCAGCTTGGGGACCTCAAATCACAAACAGGGACAGAGCACAGCAGCGTGACATCAAACGCCGGCCGGGCTTTGATGTGCGGCTCCTCCAGAGGGAGCGGCAGACAGACGGATCAGATTCCCTCGTGCGGGATCTGAGGGAGCGGCTTGTGAACACGTTGTGTGGCGGCTGGCCGAGGGGAGGGGCTGCGGCAATCGGTTCCAGACCTTCTGCGCTGGCCCAGTGCTCAGGAGGACAGGGCCCGGGGGAAATTCCAGCGCCTGAGGAGACACCCCCTCCCCCACGCAGGCCTCTGCAAGTCCCAGTGTCTGCAGGGGCAAGACCCAGGCCGCCTGGGGACACTAGGCCAGGCCAAGCCACCAGACACCACACTCCAAAGCCGGCAACGCAAGACGGGTGCTGTGGCGAGGTTCCGAGGGTGCCTGCTCACAGTGGGGGGCTGGCACAGTCTCACCCACCCTCTGGCCGGCAGAGCTCCTTACTCGGTCAGGACCCGAAGCCAGCAGGGTGGCCGGGAGGGCAGACACGCCTCTGTGGCTGGCTTTGCGGGCATATTTTTAATGCAGCACGAACCCTGCCCCCCAGAGCCCTACTCCGCCTGGGCGCAGCTGTGTGTGTGCTGGCGACGAGGCAGTGAGTCTGGAGCCTCGTGTTCATGTCCAGTCTGGGTCTGACAAAGCCAGGTGCAAACACAGGTGCTGAAGAGGGCCCAGGCAGCCGCACGCCAGGAACAGAACCAGCAGAGCTGTGGCTGCAGCCAGGAGCCACCCACCACATGACAGCCCAGCCTGAGAATGTCTCCGAGGAAGGCGGCCTCGGGCCTTCCAAACTCTACTGCCAGGTCCGGACAGGGCCCAAGAGCTCTGAGCTGGCCAGGCTGCACGCACAGAACCCCTCTGGGTGTGGCCACGGGCCGGTGCTCCCTGGCAGGAGCATGTCCTCACCAGCAGCCCCTCCCTGAAGCCCAGCACGCAGAAATCGCCCAGCCTTTCCAGAACCTCTGCTTTACCCACAGACGGAGAAACCAGCCGAGACGTACTCAGCCAGACCCGAGCACTGAGTCATGGATGGGAGCAGAGGGCTGGGCAGCCTGGGAGGGCATCAAGCCAGGGGACCGGGCACACCTGGGGCACCTCCGAGAGGGCAAATCCTCTCCATGGCAGAGCTCGTGAAGCTGACATGTACAGAATGTCCACACTGCTCCCTCACGGCCTTTGGACGGAAGTGGCTGAGCCGCCGTGAGTTCCCACGGCTCACCCTCGGCATCGTTCCAGGCAGGACTCAGTCACCCGTAACAGTCCCAGTTCTCTTCCCGATCCTCAGCACGGTCTGTCCACACCCCTGCCTTTCACCACCGCTCCCTGGCAACCAGGTCCCTACAGGATTCAACCTACGGGACTCGCCTGCCTGCCCCTGTGGACCACCCAGACGTGCCAAGTGCCACCCCCCCACCCCACCCCCGAGTCTCAGCGTGACCTCCTGGGACTCATGCCTGCTGGCTCTAAACGCACTGAGTCAATCTCCTCGGAGGAAACCCGTTAGCATAATGACCTGGACCCCAGCAAAGATGCTGGTCAGAAAGGTACTCCCTTTCCCTCTCTGGGCAGCCCCAGGTGGGCTGTGTGCCCCCAGGGCCCGTGGGCAGTGAAATCCTCATTTCCATCTCCTGCGTCTCCTATCACGGAAGGTGCACTCCCATCGTGAAAAACCCAGGCTCTGACACAGACACACCAGGCAGGTGGAGAACAGTGTCCCCCAGGGATCAGTGTGGCTGCTCACACCCCTCTGCTGGGCAGGACCTTCAGGCTACAGGGAAAATGGGGAAGCTGGGGGCCAGCAGCCCACAGCCTCCGTCTCCCGGCACCCTCCCTGTGGCAGAGCCCAAGAACTAGAGCAGAGGAGCCGGCCCAGACCGAGACAGTCAGGTACACAGTACACGAAGGTTTCAAGGACTCTGCACCAGCACGAGCGTGAGATGGCTCACTTTTCCACTCACTACACATCCAAGAAGTCCAATTTTGGGTATACTGTGTTAATTAAACATATTACTAAAATTGATGACACCTCTTTTTATTTATTTTTTAATGTGGTTACAAAAAAAAGTGAGTCATTGGCTGGGCACAGTGGCTCACACCTGTCATCCCAGCACTGGGAGGCCAAGTCAGGTGGATTACCTGAGGTCAGGAGTTCGAGACCAGCCGGGCCAACATGGTGAAACCCCGTCTCTACTAAAAAAAAAAAAAATCAGCCCGGCGCGGTGGCACGCAGCTGTAATCCCAGCTACTCGGGAGGCTGAGGCAGGAGAACTGCTTGAACGCAGGAGGTGAAGGTTGCGGTGAGCCACGATGGCACCACTGCACTCCGGCCTGGGCAATGGGAAAGAAAAAGTGAGTCACCTCCGTGGCCAACACGTGTGGCTCACTGTTATCCCCAAGGCTACTGCTGCTCGAGACACTGTTCGGGCCTGGGCTTCATGCCACGGTGACATCCATTCAGTGGAGCTGCAATATTTCAAATCTGTGGTGGTCTCCATCCAAGGAAATCACCTGAGGTCCCCAAATACACAAGGCAGGCTCTGTCCCTGGGCAGGCTACAGGCCTGCAGTCCCCAGCCTCCGATCACCCCTTCCAAGCACGGTGCTCACACTGTCCCTGGCTCGAACTTCTTCCAAAACACACGAAGGGAGAAACACCAGCTTCCCGCCTATCCCACTGCTGACACCTGGAGTTCCCAAAGCCACCACCCTGCCTCCGTAAGCCTCCCAGGCCAGTGCGGGGACACTAGGCACGAGGTAGCCTTCCTCCCTCACATAGACCTACTGGGGACCAGCCTCCAGCACAGAGCCTACCAGACACTCCACCCCCACTGTGGGGCTGGCAACACTACCCACCACAAAACCTCATCCACATCCTGCTCCATGGCCAGCAATCTCCAGCCTCCAGGACAGAGCTTGGGTCTAAACTTCTAGAAATAAATAAGTAAATGTATTTATTTATTTCTGAGCCGGAGTCTCACTCTGTTGCCCAGGCTGGAGTGCAGTGGCACAATCTCAGCTCACTGCAACCTCCACTCCCTGGGTTCAAGCAACTCTCCTGCCTCAGCCTCCTGAGTAGCTGGAATTACAGGTGACTGCCACCATGCCCAGCTAATTTTTTTATTTTTAGTAGGGACAGGGTTTCGCCATATTGGTCAGGCTAGTCTCAAACTCCTGACTTCAGGGGATCTGCCCACCTCAGCCTCCCAAAGTGTTGAGATTACAGGCTTGAGCTGCCGGTCTGGCCTAGAGAGAAAATTTAAAGAAGCCCTATCTTAAATTCTACCTCTGGAATTCACCCTATGGGAGGAACTGGGATGGGTAACCAGGTGCAAAGGCCTCCAGCTACACAGTCTGCTCCAGCCCTGCGCAGGATGCCCCAAAACACAGGCAGATGCCCCATGACATCCACAGGACACCCACAAGACGGAAGGGCGAAACTCTTCAGAAAGACGTCCACAGCATATTCACCAGCACCCAGAGCCAGGCACCAGTTCCCGTACCCCAGGCATGAGTGTTCACCAAATGAGGTGTACGTGCAGACGCACCTGCACACAGACCCACACTACCACACGGCCCAGGGCCACGGGCTGGGGGCTTCACCACTGACAGCCCATCGCCTCCTGCTGTCACCAGTTCCTTGAAAGAGCTGCCCCACTTGCTCCTGTTTCTTTTTCTTTTTCTTTTTTTTTCTTTTTTTTTTGAGACAAAGTCTCGCTGTCACTCTGGCTGGAGTGCAATGGTGCGATCTTGGCTTGCTGCATCCTCCGCCTCCACGGTTCAAGCAATTCTCCCGCCTCCTGAGTAGCTGAGACTATAGGCATGAGCCAGCACACTGTACTAATTTTTGTATTTTTAGTAGAGAAGGGTTTCCGCCACGTTGGCCAGGCTAGTCTGGAACCCCTGAGCTCAAGTGATCCGCCTGTCTCGGCCTCCCAAAGTGCTGGGATTACAGGTGTGAGCCACCGCGCCCAGACACTCTTGTTATTTTTTTTTTTTTTGAGATGGAGTTTTGCTCTTGTTGCCCAGGCTGGAGTCCAGTGGCGTGATCTCGGCTCACCGCAACCTCCACCTCCCAGGTTCGAGCAATTCTCCTGCCTCAGCCTCCCAAGTAGCTGAGATTACAGGCGTGTGCCACCATGACCAGCTAATTTTTGTATTTTTATTAGAGACAGGATTTCACCACGTTGGCCAGGCGGGTCACAAACTCCTGACCTCAGGCGATCCATCTGCCTCGGCCTCCCAAAATGCTGGGATTACAGGGGTAAGACACTGTGCCCGGCCTCTTGTTTCTTTTTTTTCTTTCTTTTTATTTTTTAAGACAGAGTTTTGCTCTTGTCATCCAGGCTGGACTCCAATGGCACAACCTCAGCTCACTGCAACCTCCACCTCCTGGGTTCAAGTGAATCTCGCTTTTCAGCCTCCCGAGTAGCTGGGAATACAGGCACCATTAGGCTTGGTTAATTTTTGTATTTTTAGTAGAGACAGGGCTTCACCATGTCAGCCAGGCTGGTCTTGAACTCCTGACCTCAGATAATCCACCTGCCTTGCCCTCCCAAAGTGCGGGGATTACAGGCGTGAGCCACCGTGCTCGGCCATTCCTATTGTTTCTTAAACTAAGTTGCCTACGAGGATTACAAAGTCTGTTGAAGAGGCTTATGCTAGAACAGTGGCGGGCCCTCCACCCAGACACCCTCAGCCCCTCCCCAGTGGCAGCCCGGGGCCACTGTGGGCCATTTCCTCACCTCCATCTGGATCTGAAGACAGACAGGGAGAATGGCCATCACCAAGCACCTGCCTGCCGCCTGGGGCACCGGCTGGCCCGGGGCATTTCCTTCAGGACTTTCATCTTTCCTGACTTTTACCCCCTTCGCTGTTTGGGTTTCTTCTTGCCCTCTGCTGCTTTTCTCTCAGGAGGCAGCAGAGCTGGGTGCCGAGATCCGCACCCCTCACCCAGTGCCTACCCAGCACCTGGGGCCGCCCGCCTCCCTGCCTGGTGCCATTCCTGCCTGTGGCTTCGTCTTTTCTCACCAGTTCTGTCACTTGTTTTAGTCGCATTTTAGGAGAACGAATTCTGTGCCCATACTTAACCCAGTCTTCCCCAGAAGACTCCATTCACCCCAACACCTGCTGGGGTGGTTTCCACCCCCAGGACCCCTGACCTCGGCGCCCTCCTCTGTGAATGCAACACCCGTGCTGTGCAGGCGGCTCCACCATCAGATGGGAGCAGGCCCAGCCCCGGGGCCACCGAGAGTGCCTGACGCGCAGTCACCTTCCCATAGGCCCTGCACTGAGTCCTCAATGTACCCCATCCACACACCACCCAGGCACAGGTGGGGAAACCGAGACCCAGAGAGAGCGAGAACTCCCCAGCAATTCCCAGCCCCGAGTCCCTTCTGTTCTGCTGGCCGAGCCTTTCACAGCATATAAAGATTTCCAGCCCACAATGAAAAGACCCAAATTTACAAAGCACCCATTTTTACATATTCAGAAACAAAGTCTTAACCATTAACCGACAGATTACTTTTTTTTTGAGACAGGGTCTTGGTCTTCTTCTGTCGCCCAGGCTGGAGTACCATCAGGGCTCACTGCAACCTCCACCTCCCAGGCTAAGACCCTCCCACCTCAGCCTCCTGGGTAGCTGGGCCCGCAGGCGTGCACCACCATGCCTGGCCTAATGTTTCTATTTTTCGTAGAGACGGGGTTTCACTATGTTGCTGAGGCTAGTCTCAAACTCATGAGCTCAAGCGACCCACCACCCTCGGCCTCCCGACGTGCTAGGATTACAGGCGTCAGCCACTGTTCCTGGTCTGCCAATTACTATTAAGAGGGTTTTCTGGTGGGGCACAGGGCTCACCACTGTAATCCCAACACTTTGGGAAGCCGAGATGGGAGGATGGCTGGGGCCCATGGGTTCAAGAGCAGCCTGGGCGACCGACATAGTGAGACCCCTCCTCTTAAAAAAAAGAGACTTTCTGATCCCATCCAGGGGAAGCAAGCATGGGAGCCCTGCCCCCAGCACCAAATGTCTCCCCTTACGCTCACCAGGCCCCCACAAGGACAGAAGCACATCCCTGCTCTTCTGGCAGGGCAGGGCAGGGCCATTGGACCCAGGAAGCTCAGAGCAATGAGCTGTGACCAACCATCCCTGAGGCTACCGCTCCTGAACCAGCAGCCCACACATCCCTCCTCTTCCAAGGACTGCAAAGCCCAAGAGGCACCAAGGTCCAGCACAGGGACTCGGTATCCAGCTCTGGACCAGACCCCGTGACCTCTGCAGCTTCCACCATCCGTCCACTGATGCTCACCTGGTCTGTGCAAAATGGCTGAGAAGCTCCCAGAGGGTCTGGCCTGAACAAAAGGTATCCTGCAACCTGGAGCCGTCATCCAGCTGCAAAGCAATGCGAACCTGGAGGGTACAGGACACGAGAAACATCCTTAGGAAGAAAAGCAACGGTTCCGTCTGCATCCCAGACTGGCTCTCCAGACAGAGAGGGCGACAGCTCCTGCCCAGGCCTCTGGGGAGAGACTGACCCCCACCGAGAAGTGCTGCCCTCCTGTGTACTCTGGAGTGAGGGCCATGGAGGCTTCCCCAACAAGGCTGCACCAGCATGGAAGTGTGCATGAGTGTGTGCGAATGTGTGGTGTATGTGCGTGTGCATGCGTGCATGTGGGTGTGCAGGTGGGTGTGTGCGGGTGTGCATGTGCATGGGTGTGTGTGCCAGTGTATGTGGATGTGTGCAGGTGCGTGGGGGTGTGCATGGGTGTGTGCGGATGTATGTGCATGTGTGCAGGTGTGCGCAAGTGTGTGGTGTGGGTGTGCACAGGTGTGTGGGTGTGCATGTGCGTGCAGGTATGTGTGTGCTCAGGTATGCAGGTGTGTGCACAGGTATGTGGGTGTGCATGTGCGTGCAGGTGTGTGTGCTCAGGTATGCAGGTGTGTGCACAGGTGTGTGTGCCTGTGTGTGGCGGTGTGCAGGTATGTGTGTGCTCAGGTATGCAGGTGTGTGCACAGGTGTGTGTGCCTGTGTGTGTGGGTGTGCAGGTGTGTGTGGGTGTGCAGGCGCCACAGGAGGGAGCTGTGTTGGGGACACTCCTCCTGCCCTCGTGGGGCCGTGGAAAGATTGCAGCTCCACTAAACCTGACTGCAGCCGCAGGACAGACCCTGAGCTAAGCTGCTCCCAGACTCTGGACCCTTAGAAGCCACCAGATGGTCAATGTTCGCTGCTGTGCCTTAACACACCAACTTTTGTTTTGTTTTGCTTCTTGAGATGAGTCTCGCTCTGTCACTCAGACTGGAGTGCGGTGGTGTGATCCTGGCTCACTGTAACCGCCGCCTCCCGGGTTCAAGAGATTCTCCGGCCTCAGCCTCCCAAGTAGCTGGGATTACAGGCACCCACCACCACGCCCGGCTAATTTTTGCATTTTTAGTAAAGACGGGATTTCACCATGTTGGCCAGGCTGGTGGCAAACTCCTGACCTCAAGTGACCTGCCCACCTTGGCCTCCCAAAAGGCTGGGATGACACGTGCTAGCCACTGCACCCGGCCCACATGCCAACGTTTGGTTGGGCACAATGGCTCAGGCCTGTCATCCCAGTACTATGGGAGGCCGACGTGAGAGGATCCCTTGAGCCCAGGATTTCAAGACCAGCCTGGGGCAGACCCTAAGCCCTGCAGCGTCTCATCTGAGAAACAAAGGAGCTGCCCAGGCAGCGTCCATGCAGTGCTTCTGGCTCTTAACATTCTGGACGATTCTATGTATGGAATGTCAGGCTGCTGGGTGAATGCTTCCAACACCCTGAGCCAGGTAGGGCACAAATGACCCCACCAAAAAGAAAAACTTTCACACGAAGAATGAGACTTTAGGCCAGTGCAGTGGCTCACACCTGTAATCCCAGCACTTTGGGAGGCTGAGGTGGGCGGACCCAGGAGGTCAGGAGTTCGAGACCAGCCTGACCAGCATGGTAAAACCCTGTGTTAACTAAACACACACACAATGTGCTGGCCGTTGTTCCACGCATCCGTAATCCCAGCTACCAGGGAGGCCAAGGCGTGAGGACTGCTTGAGCCCAGGAGGCAGAGGTCACAGTGAGCCAGGATGGTGCCACTGCATTCCAGACTGGGTGACAGAGTCAAAAAAAAGCATGAGATGCTCATTTTCAGTTGCCAGCTTTCAAAGAAGAGAAAATTGCTCAGACCCAACCCAGGGAAGGCAGAATTAGTGCTAAGACTCATCCAGCAACCCCTCCCATCCCTGTGTCCAGCCAGCTAAATCCTCCCATACCACACAGTCAGCCTGCCCCGGAGCACCACCCACCATGTTCTTGGGCCCCTCGCGGCTCCGGGAGGCGGGCACCATCTCCAGCTTGGCATTATTGGGTAGGTTGGCAAATCTCCACTGGAGAGAAAGGTCGAGCACACTCCTCTGAAACCTGCAAGACAGACCGGAGCCCACTCGCTGCCCTGCAGACCCTGACACGCCCGACCATCCACGGCGAATGGCAGCTCCCCGAGAGCAGGACCACATCATCTACAGGGGCACAAGGCGGGACCTGACTACATAGGGCCGCATGCACGCAGAAGGGAGCAGGGAAAAGGGAGAAGCGAGCCTCAGACAGACGCGTCGAGGGGCCGCTCCTCCAGCATCTGGGGTGCTGACAGCCCCAGGGCAAATGCTCAGAAAACACACAGAAAGGCTGGGTGGTGAACCCTGCCACACTCGAGAAGCTGAGGTGTCAGCCCCCAGCCATCACAGCTGGAGCCGCCACAGAAAAGCCAGCTGCCCGAGTCCCTCCGCTTTCACCTCGGCCACCAGCCATCGTGGCCGCCCACCACTCCTGCTCCCGCCCCCCTCCAAATGGGGCCACAACCCAAGAGAAGCAACAGGAAACCCACACGTGGGCCAGGCGCGGTGGCTCACGCCTGTAATCCCAGCACCTTGGGAGGCTGCGGCAGGTGGATCAGTTGAGGTCAGTAGTTGGAGACCAGCTATTTTTAGTCTCTACTAAAAATACAAAAGTGAACTAGGCAAGATGGTAGGCGCGTACAATCCCAGCTACTTGGGAGGCTGAGGCAGGAGAATTACTTGAACCCAGGAGGTGGAGGTTGCAGTGAGCTGAAATCACACTACTGTACTCCAGCCTGGATGACAGAGCAAGATTCTGTCTCAAAAAAATAAATAAATAAAAATTAAAAAATAAAATCACAACTGCTGCACAGCCCTGATCTTCAGGGAGACCACTGGCCAGTCAGTCACCCAAAGAACAAACAAGAGGTCATTCGGGCCTCTCACAGGTCAGCCTCTGACTCTGTTTTTGAGACAGGGTCTCACTTTGTTCCCCAGGGTGGAGCGCAGTAGAGCAAACAGAGCACACTGTAACCTCGACCTCCCAGGCTCAAGCTATCCTCCCACCTCGGCCTCCTAAGTAGCTAGGACTATAGGTGTGCACCACAAATCCTGGCTAATTTTTTCTTTTGCAGAGATGGAAATCTTGCTGTGTTGCCCAGGCTGGTCACAAACTCCTGAACTCAAGCAATCCTTCTACCTCGGCATCCTCGCGTGCTGGAATTGCAGGTATGAGCCAATGAGCAACCTATTTTCACTTTTTTGTTTTAAGAGACAGGGTCTCGGCCGGGTGCGGTGGCTCACACCTGTAATCCCAGCACTTTGGGAGGCAGAGGCAGGTGGATCACGAGGTCAAGAGATCGAGACCATCCCGGTCAACATGGTGAAACCCCGTCTCTACTAAAAATACAAAAAATCAGCTGGGCATGGTGGCGCGTGCCTGTAATCCCAGCTACTCAGGAGGCTGAGGCAGGAGAATTGCCTGAACCCAGGAGGCGGAGGTTGCGGTGAGCCGAGATCGCGCCATTGCACTCCAGGCCTGAGTAACAAGAGCGAAACTCCGTCTCAAAAAAAAAAAAAAAAAAAAAGACACAGGGTCTCACTCTGTCACCCAGTGGCATACTCATATCTGAGCTGTTTTTAACAGAAGTTTAGATAAAAGGAAAAAAACTCCAGGGCTGAGGGGAGAACACAGATGAAATCTGCATGTACTTGGCCTGGCACCGCAGCTCATGCCTGTAATCCCAGCACTGTGGGAAGCCAGTGCGGGAGGATCATCTGAGGTCAGGAGTTCAAGACCAGCCTAACCAATGTGGTGAAAACCTGTCTCTGCTAAAAATACAAAAATTAGCGGGACATGGTAGTGGTTGCCTGTAGTCCCAGCTACTCAGGAGGCCGAGGCAGGAGAACTGCTTGGACCTGAGAGTCAGAAGCTGCAGTGAGCCAAGACTGAATCACGCACCATGCACTCCCACTCCGGCCCAGGCAATGGAAGGAAGGAAGGAAGGAAGGAAGGAAGGAGGGAAGAAGGGAGTAAGGGAAAGAGAAGAAAGAAAGGGAAGAAAGAGAAGAAAGGCGGGAAGAAAGGAAGAAAAAGAGAAAGGCTGGCCCCCCTTTGGAAATACAAGCTGCCATTGGAAACAATTAGAAAACAGAGTTTAGAAAGTTCGAGGGTGTCTATAAGAATTAACAGAGAACAAACTTTGCTATCAATCTTTTATACTGGCCAGAAAAGTGACTCTGGAAGTTGCCACATGAAATATCTAGGGCAAGACCGGATAGCAGATTGGGGGAACCTGAGGGCAGGCAGACTGGGAACCGTGGGGGGGACGGGGCGGGGCACTGTCCCCGCATGGAGCCGCGTTCGCTACACTGCCTCAGCAGACGAAAAGGGGACCAGGAAATACTGCAATGGTGCTGCAGGAGACCTGCCTCAGAGTCGCACTCACTGGCTCCCACCAGACACCATCGCACAGGTCATGGGCAGGTCAGCCTTCAGGAATAAAAATGAGGCCAGCCACGGTGCCTCATGCCTGTAATCCCAGCACTCTGGGAGGCACGGCGGGCAGAGCACTTGAGGTCAGGAGTTCGAGAACAGCCTAGCCAACACGGTGAAACCATCTCTACTAAAAACACAAAAATTAGCCGGGCATGGCATGTGCCTATAATTCCAGTTACTCAGGATGCTGAGGCACAAGAATCGCTTGAACCGGGGAGGCAGAGGTTGCAGTAAGCCGAGATTGTACCACTGCACTCCAGCCTAAGTGACAGAGCAAGACTTTTCAAACAAAATGGACAGGCGAGGTGACTCACGCCTGGGTGACTCACTCAACACTTTCGGAGGTCAAGGCGGGTGGATCACCTGAGGTCAGGAGTTCGAAACCATTCTGACCAACATGGTGAAACCCTGTCTCTGTTAAAAATACAAAAAGTAACCAGCCTGGCCAAGATGGCGAAACCTTGTCTCTACTAAAAATACAAAAATTAGCCAGGCGTGGTGGCGGATGCCTGTAATCCCAGCTGCTTGGGAGGCTGAGGCAGAGAAGTGCTTGAACCCGGGAGGCATAGGGTGCACTGAGCCAAGACAGTGCCACTGCACTACAGCCTGGGTGACAGAGTGAGACTCCCTCTCAAAAAAAAAAAAAAAAAAAAAAATTAGCTGGGCATGCTGGTGTATGCCTGTAATCCCAGCTACTCGGGAGGCTGAAACAGGATTACATGAACCTGAGAGGCGGAGGTTGCAATGAGCTGAGATCGCGCCACTGTACTACTGCCTGGGTGACAGAGTGAGACTCTCTCAAAAAATAGTAATAGGCCAGGCGCAGTGGCTCATGCCTGTAATCCCAGCACTTTGGGAGGCTGAGGCAGGTGGATCATGAGGTCAAGAGATCGAGACCATCCTGGTCAACACGGTGAAACCCCGTCTCTACTAAAAATACAAAACATTAGCTGGGCCTGCCTGTAATCCCAGCTACTCCGGAGGCTGAGGCAGGAGAATTGGCTGAACCCAGGAGGCGGAGGTTGCGGTGAGCCGAGATCGCGCCATTGCACTCCAGCCTGGGTAACAAGAGTGAAACTCCGTCTCAAAAAAAACCAAAATAATAATAATAACAATAATAATAATAGGCCCGGCACGATGGCTCATCCCAGCACTTTGGAGGAGGCCGAGGCAGGCAGATCACTGGATCAGGAGTTGGAGACTAGCCTGACAGACATGGTGAAATTCTTTCTGTCTCTACTGAAAATACATAAATTAGCTGAGTGTGGTGGCATGCCCCTATAATTCCAGCTACTCAGGAGGCTGACGAATGAGAATGGCTTGAACCTGGGAGGCAGAGGTTGCAGTGAGCTGAGATCGTACCACTGCACTCCAGCCTGGGTGACAGAGTGAGACTCCATTTCAAAAATAATAACAGGGCCGGGCGCAGTGGCTCAAGCCTGTAATCCCAGCACTTTGGGAGGCCAAGGCGGGTGGATCACGAGGTCAAGAGATCGAGACCATCCTGGTCAACATGGTGAAACCCCGTCTCTACTAAAAATACAAAAATTAGCTGGGCATGGTGGCGGGTGCCTGTAATCCCAGCTACTCAGGAGGCTGAGGCAGGAGAATTGCCTGAACCCAGGAGGCGGAGGTTGCGGTGAGCCGAGATCGCGCCATTGCACTCCAGCCTGGGTAACAAGAGCGAAACCCCGTCTCAAAAAATAATAATAATAATAATAATAATAACAAGAAAAAAAATGAAGCCCTAAGCCCCCTAACCAACTGAACCAGCCTCCTCTTGGCCCAGGGGACTCCATACCCCTTGAAAGCTGAGTTCCTGGCCATGAATGGGTGTGAGGTCAGACACACCTACAGGCTTTCTTCCCTAAGGGATAAACAGAAAGCAGCCCTTTCAAAGACTTCTGGGCTGGTATCGACAACAGCCAACCTCCAGCCAGGCCCTTTCTCTCTTGCACTTCTTCAAAACAACCCACAGGTATTTCTTCCTGATAAGAGACCACCAACCATGGAGTGGTTCTGGCGCAGTGAAGGGTTTTCATGCCCTTGGTTTGCCATGTTTTTCTTTCATTGATTTATTTATTTACTTTTTTTTGTAGAGACGGGGTTTCACTGTGTTCCCCAGGCTGGTCTAGAATTTCTGGGCTTAAGCAATGATCCGCCTTGGGCTCTCAAAGTGCTGGGATTACAGGCAAGAGCCACTTCGCCCAGCCTGCTTCACCTCTAACTTCAGAGGCCAAAAGTTCCACCCTCAGGTCACACTAGCGCTGCCATTTTTTAAACACAGGACCCGTGGAGAGGCATGAAGCTCAATTGTGTGTGTGCACAGTTCTTTCAAGAATCTCATGATCCTCCCATAGCGTATTAAGTGCGTCTTTATCAGCCACCCCATCCCTATCTTATTCTTCCCTCTCTCGAAGTGTCTGCTTCCGGTTTCTGGCTGACGGCTACACTTCCCAGCCTGTTAGAATGGCCACCCTTCAGGATGCAATCCAACCTCATTCTTCAGTTGACCACAAACTGGGGAAGGATGGTGTGGGGGTCTGAGGCAGGATACTCAAGAGCACACACAGGTCCTGGGACTCTCACGCAGTCCAGACACAGGGTGGAAGACTGGAATGACTTGGCAAGTATCAACCCTAAGAAACTCCTCCCAGGAGAGCCCCATAAGACAGGGTCGGCAAGGCGGGTAAGGCAGGCTCCTGCCCTCTGCCCCCAGTGTTAGGACGACAGTACTGTGAAAACAGGTCTTTAACCCCCGGCACGGTGGCTCACCTCTGTAATCCCAATGTTGAAGGCCAAGGCGGGTGAATCACTTGAGGTCAGGAGTTCAAGACCAGCCCGGCCAACATGGTGAAACCCCGTCTCTAGTAAAAATACAAAAATTATCTGGGCGTGGTGGGGCGCACCTGTAATCCCAGCTACTAGGGAAGCTGAGGCAGGAGAATCACTTGAACCCAGGAGGCAGAGGTTGCAGTGAGCCAAGACCACACCACTGTGCACACCAGTTTGGGCAACAAGAGTGAAACCCTATCTCAAAAAAAAAAAAAAAAGGAAAAAAAAAAAATTAAAGTAAAAAGCTTCACATGTGGGATAGACACACACATCCTACCCATATGAGGGCTCTGACCCTTCTGCTGTCTCAGACTCTGAGACTCTGGCAGAAGCCCTCTCTTGGGAATAATACCCCCACACAGAGGTAATTCCAGAGGCTGTGAGAGCAGAGGGATCTCCCTGCAGTTTCAGGGTCCCTCTTCTTATTTCTCCATGGCCAGCTCTTCCCCTCAGAGCCCCACTGGGAACTTACACAACCAAATGCAATAAAACCTAGAGGGCGTTGAACGGTGCCCCCAAAACTGATGGGTCAGTGTCCTCTGACCATCTTCTTGGATACCCTGGTCTTTGGAGATGTAATGATAAACCATCCTAGATTATCCAAGGGGACCCTAATCCAATGACAAGGGTCTTCTAAAGACACAGAAAACAGGGAAAGTCCACAAGGACTCGGAGGCAGAGAGCAATGCGGCCACAAGCCGAGGAAAACACTTGGAGCCATCAGAAGCCGGAAGAGGCAGGAAGGATTCTCCCTTAGGGCAAACGGAGAGAGTGTGGCCCTGCCAAGACCTTGGGTCTCCAGAGCTGCGAGGGAATATATGATGACTGTTTAAAACCACAGGGTGGCTCTTCCAAGTGAGAGCCAGGATGTTCACAGGCAGGGGCACAGATGCACTCAGACCCTGCTGCCTGAGCTGCAGCAAACTCACTTCAGGTCATATTCACAGGGGTCGAAGTCCTGCCGCCGGCACGTGTCCTCCAGAACCTAGAGGTGAGATGAAAGGACGCTGAACTGCTGAGTGGGCCGGGCTGGCCGGCGCAGTGGGGCAGGCCAGCCAAGGGCACTCAGCTTCCTGGCAAGCCAGGTGGCTCTGTCCAGGCAAAGCCAAGCAAGCACAAACCACACTATGGACGGTCCCCCAACAGCCGCGGGCGTCTCTCCTGCAAATCCTGTCCACTGTCCATCCCCCTTCCTCACCGCCCCCGCTTTGCAGGGAGACTCCATTCAGGGCTCCCCGGCGGCAAGCAACACCAGGATCTTCCTGGCACACACTCGGGGATCTCCCCCCATGAAGTTCAAACCCTGCAGTTCTCCAACCCTGCCCAGCAGAGGCTACCCCTGGCTCTGGCACGGTTCTGTGCACCTGCTCCCACAGCCTGCACCGCCTCCGCCCCTCTTCTCCAACAGCCAGAGGCGTGGCGCGGGCACCAGAGGGTCCCGGCACCGACAGCCTCCCAGCTGCGCCCTCCGCCCGTCCAGGCCCGGCCGCCCCACGCTGTGGGCCGCTCGCGCAGACCGTGTGCACTTTGGGTCCTCAAGGTCCCCAACGCAGCAGGGGCTCAATTAATACTTTTATATTAAATTGATGCGAGGTCACAAGCTGCCCGAGTAAAACTGCACTGCATGACTCAGCAAAAATCGCTCCCACGCCCCACGGCCGGGACGTCAGCCACCGCGCAACCCGGGCTCCCACTCCAGGGGACGCCCCGGGAGGGGAACGCGGGTCTGAGGCTCCACGCTTCCCTCTTCCCCGCGCCCTCGCGAGCGGGGCTCGGCCGGGCGCCCAGGACTCCAAGGCGGGTGACACGCGGCCCCGTCCCTGCCGCACCCCGGGGAGGGCTGCACCCGCCCCGCCCCCTACGAGACCCCCGGGACCCCCGCGGAAGCGCAGGTGCCCGCAGGCAGGGGGCGGGGACGCCGCGCAGGAGTCAGTTCATTGGCCGCCGCAGGCCCCGCCCCTAAAGACCCGGACGCCGACCGTAGGGGGCGGGGCCTCGGCGCGGCACCCCCAACCCGCCCACCCGTTCGCTTCGGGCCGGTGGCCGCACCTGAAGCAGCACGGTGCTCGGCGTCACCTTTACTGTGTGGCGCCGGCCGTTCGGGGCCAGCACCGACACCGCGGAGCCTCCGCCACCTCCCGGGGCCGCCATCTTCCGCTCACGTGACCCGCCGCCGCCCGGCGTCAACCAACTTTATCGGCAACAGCCGGGACGCGCAGCCACGCGGCCGGGGGGCGGGGCCGGAGCGCGCTTCCGGGTCCCGCCAGGCCCCGCCCTAGCCCCGCCTCCTCCCCGCCCACGGCGCCCCCGCCCCGCCCTGGAGCCGCTGGAGCCCGCGCTGCCGACCTCTGCCTCCGGGAAGCGCGGCTCGGATGGGCCGGAGCTGGGTGCGCGGTAACCCCCGGTGAGCGGCCCGCGCTCGCCCGTCCTCGGTTCGTCCCGTCCCCACGTCGGTGCCCTGCTTTCCCCCACCCCCACCCCCGGCTTCCTCCGCTCCGGCACCTGAGCCTCTTCCCTGCCCACCTGTCCCTGTGCTCAGCGTCCCCTCCTGACCTTATGGGATGGGGCAGGCCCCTCACCCCGGTACGGATCCTTCCTGGCCGTTGGGGCTCGTGGCCCTCGAGTCTAAGCCTTATTCTCTTCATCCTAGAATGGGAGTGAAATACCTGGCAGCCCTGGGGCTGCTGCCATGGTCCCTAAACCTGAGGGTAGGTAAGGCGGGAGACCGGGTCCAGAATCATGGGGTGCGCGAACTTGAGTCTCACCAGAGCTCTTGCGGACCCACAGGCACTCGAGGACTTCCCGCGCTAATGCCTTGCTGAACAGGGCCTTGGTGGAAGCCTCGGAAACCCCACCCCTTCCCCAGCCGCCGCAGAAGGGATGGCACCTGGCCTCACTGCCACCAGGGCCACGTGCTGCCAGCTCCCGTCTCCCAGCAGGAGCTGCCTTCCTGACTCGCAGCCCTGTGCTTAGCTCCCAGCACCTGGGTCACTCATGGACAGCACATGCCTGTGTTCCCCCGGCCCCAGCCTGGGACTTGGCTAAATTCTCTCCGCGGCTCAGCCGTCCCTGGCGCTCCCCTCTCCATAGGCCTGCCCTGGCCAGGACTCAGATGCACAGAAGCCTGTGGAAGGGGGAACTGGTGCACTTGTCAGTCAGTCCTTATGCTTCATTTGACTGAGACAGGGTCTCCCTCTGTGGCCAGACTTGAGTGCAGTGCTATGATCACAGCTCACTGCAGCCTCCAACTCCTGGGCTCAAGCAATCCTCCTGCCTTGGCCTCCTGGGTAGCTGGAAAGCAGGTGCAAACCATCATGCTTGGCTAACTTTTATTGTTGTTGTTGTTGTTGTGATGAACTTTCACTCTTGTCACCCAGGCTGGAGTGCAGTGGCTCGATCTCAGCTCACTGCAACCTCCACCTCCCGGGTTCAAGTGATTCTCCTGCCTCAGCCTCCCAAGTAGCTGAGATTACAGGCACCCACACCATGCCTGGGTAATTTTTGTGTTTTTAGTAGAGATAGGGTTTCACCATGTTGGCCAGGCTGGTCTAGAACTCCTGACCTCCTGTGATCCGCCCACCTCAGCCTCCCACAGTGCTGGGATGCCAGGTGTGAGCCACCACACCCGCGGTCATTGAGGAGTCTAAGGACACCTCTGCCTGGATGCTATCTTACCTTCCTGCTGATGACACATCCACATCACACACACACACCTGCATGCAGATAAACATGGACACCTGTGTACACTGGAGGAAACTGGGGAGAGCCCCACGTTAGCCACAGCCCTCCCAGCCAGCCAGCCAGCCAGCCAGATCCCCGTGCCCTGTGCAACCTCAGAGCCTCACTGAGCCACACATCTCCTGGTGGGGGTGTTTCAGTTTTTCAGAGGCATTTTTGAAGTATCTGGTCCTGTTTTCCTTAGACCGTCCCACGGTCTGGATCCTTGCTTAGACATTTGGGGCAATGATGAGGAGAGGTGACAAGTCAGCAGGAGGTACAGAACATCAGTGTGGCCATGAGTAAAGTTTAACCAGTTGGTCAAGTTTAATTCTGCAACATTCCTCCATGGTCAAGATCCCTTGCTCCGTATGGAGTAATTAAGGCGTGTGTGAGGCAATTCTCTGAGACCACAAATACCAAGATTTTCCAATAACCATTTGCCCAACAGTTTTAGCATCGGTTAATGAGTAGATTCATTGTTACATTTACAGCTGCAAAATCATGACTTCCCAAGTTTATTGTTCCTGCCACATTTATAGGCATTTTTTGCCAAGCTTCTCCTCATTAAAATAATATATGAACTCTTGGCTGGGCACGGTGGTTCACGCCTGTAATCCCAGCACTTTGGGAGGCTGAAGCGGGCGGATCACAAGGTCAGGAGATTGAGACCATCCTGGCTAACACGGTGAAAACCCATCTCTACTTAAAAAAAATACAAAAAATGCCGGGCGCGGTGGCTCAAGCCTGTAATCCCAGCACTTTGGGAGGCCGAGGCGGGTGGATCACGAGGTCAGGAGATCGAGACCATACTGGTCAACATGGTGAAACCCCGTCTCTACTAAAAATACAAAAAATTAGCTGGGCATGGTGGCACATGCCTGTAATCCCAGCTACTGAGGAGGCTGAGGCAGGAGAATTGCTTGAACCCAGGAGGCAGAGGTTGCGGTGAGCCGAGATCGCGCCATTGCACTCCAGCCTGGGTAACAAGAGTGAAACTCCGTCTCCAAAAAAAAAAAAAATAAATACAAAAAATTACCCGGGCTTGGTGGCATGCTCCTGTAGTCCCAGCTCTTCAGGGGCTGAGACAAGGAGAATCACTTGAACTCAGGAGGTGGAGATTACAGTGACCCAAGATCGTGCAACTACGCTCCAGTCTGGGAGACAGAGCGAGACTCTGTCTAAAAAATAAAAAAATTATTATATGAATGCATGTATGTTTTTATTAAGTTGGTATTCTTTTTGATGTTCAAATTGGTCCTTCTGACTCCTATGCTTTTTTTGGGGGGAAGGGGTGACCTTTTATGTTGATATTATTTCAAACTTAGCTGAGCAAGGTGGCTCACACCTGTAGTCTTAGCAACTCAGGTGGCTGAGGCAGGAGGATTGCTGAGTCCAAGTTCAAGTCTGTAGTGAACCATTAGCATGCCTATGGATAGCTACTGCACCCCAGCCCCAGCAACATAGTATAATACTGTCTCTAAAAAGAAGAAAGAGAAGAAAGGAGGAGAAGGAGGAGGAAGGAAGAAGGAGAAGAAAAGTTTGCAAAAGCAGCATGAAGAATTCCTGTATGTCTTTAACAAGCTCAATCAGTGTTTACATGTCACCCATTTGCTTTATTATGTCCCATCTCTCTCTCTCTCTCTCTCTCTCTCTCTCTCTCTCTCTCTCTCTCTCTGTCTCTCTCTCTCTCTCTCTCTGTCTCTCTCTCTCTCTCTCTCTGTCTCTCTGTCTCTCTCTCTCTCTTCCCCTCTCCCCTCACCCCCCAACCCCATGTATATGTAAAAACTTTTTCTGGCCAGGAACAGTGACTCACCACTATAATTCCAGCATTTTGGGAGGCCAAGGTAGGAGGATCACTTGAGCCTAGGAGTTTGAGACCAGCCTGGGCAACATAGTGAGATCCTGTCTCTACAAAAATTGCAAAAGTGAGTGGGGCATGGTGACATGTTCCTGTAGTCCCAGCTCCTTGGAAGACTGAGGCAGGAAGGTCACTTGATCCTGGGAGGTGGAGGTTGCGATGAGCCAAGATTGTGCCATTGCACTCCAGCCTGGATGACTGAGTGAGACTCTGTCTCAAAAAAAAAAGAATAAGGCCATCCTCTTATATAACCACCATGATTTCATACAAAACTGGGAATCTAACATTGATATCATACTCTGAGCTAATCCTCAGTTAATTGTCCAAGTGTTGACATCTTTCCTGCATCCATTTGACCTTTCCATTATTCTTTGAGCACCTCCTCCCCGCCCAAGCCCTGAAGTCAGCCATTTCTCAGAGAAGCCCTTTAACAAGGAAATGGGATTTAGAGACCAAGTTCTGGGTGCTGAGTGTGCTCATTGCTACTGGGGTGTCACTGTCTTCTGGGTCCTCTTAGGGAACAGAGTAGTGTCATGAATTCATCTGAATATTTCTAAGCCACGTCTTACCTTCCTCCCTCTTATTTCCTCATTCCACATTTGTATTCGGTGTAATTCTGTGAAATTGCCCTAGTTGACCTTTTTTTTTTTTCCTTTAGACAGAGTCTCACTCTTTTGCCCAGGCTGGAGTGCAGTGGTGTAATCTCAGCTCAGTGCAACCTCCACCTCCTGGAATCAAGGGATTCTCCTACCTCACCCTCCTGAGTAGCTGATATTGCAGGTGGTGCCCAACACCATGCCTGGCTAATTTTTGTATTTTTAGTAGACATGGGGTTTCACTATGTTGGCCAGGTTGGTCTCAAACTGCAGACCTCAAGTGATCCTCCCACCTCAGCCTCTCGAAGTGCTGGGATTACAGGTGTTGAGCGACCCCACCCAGATGTCATTTTTGATCTACAAAAAAAATGACAAAATCTATATGGTTCAACCTAATATCTCCTTTGTCCACAGCGAAAACCCTAATTTTCAGTAAATCAATATATTTATTCATTTTCTCTGTTCTAAAATGCCCTCCAAATAGTTTGAGGTACTGCAGCAATCCTGCTATTAACAACAGACCTACTATGGAAATTTCAAGGTCTCTTTGTAGCTATTTTTGTCCCTTAGAATATGTCCCATTAGAGGAATATATTGTGTTCGAAAGTTATTTGAATTAATTTCTTTCTCTGTGTTAAGTTAGGTTAGTGTATTATAGGGTTCTCCAGAAAAACAGAACCAATAGGGCATGCATAGACATACACAAGAGGACAGCTGGCCAACACGGTGAAACCCCATCTCTCCTAAAAATACAAAAATTAGGCCGGGCACAGTGGCTCACGCCTGTAATCCCAGCACTTTGGGAGGCTGAGGCAGGCAGATTATCTGAGTTTGGGAGTTTGAAGCCAGCCTGACCAACATGGAGGAACCCCATCTCTACTAAAAATACAAAATTAGCCACATGTATTGGTGCATGCCTATAGACCCAGCTACTTGGGAGGCTGAGGCAGGAGAAACACTTGAACCTGGGAGGTGGAGGTTACAGTGAGCCAAGATCACATCACTGTACTCCAGCCTGAGTAACAGAGTAAGACTCCATCTCACCAAAAAAAAAAGGCAGGGTGCAGTGGCTCACTCCTGTAATCCCAGCACTTTGGGAGGCTGAGGCAGGCAGATCACAAGGTCAAGAGATGGAGACCATCCTGGCCAACATGGTGAAACCCCATCTCTACTAAAAAAAAATACAAAACTTAGCCGGGCATGGTGGCAGGTGCCTGTAATCCCAGCCATTCGGGAAGGTGGGGCAGGAGAATCGCTTGAACCTAGGAGGTGGAGATTGCAGTGAGCCGAGATTGCACCACTGCAGTCCAGCCTGGTGACAGAGCAAGACTCCGTCAGAGAGAGAGAGATGGGGGGGGAGGGAGAGAAAGAAAAAGAAAGAGAAGGGAGGGAAGGGCAGAAGAGAAGAAAAAGAAAGTTCCATGATCTGTTGTCTGTAAGCTTGAGGCAGGAAAACCAGTGTATTGTAAACCAGTGTATAACTTAATACACTGGTTTATAACATAATTATAGTATAATATAATTCTATCCAAGTCTGCAGGTCTGAGAAGCAGGGGAGCGAGAGGTGTAACTCCCATCCTGAAGCCCAGGTAGTGTAGGATGGGCGGCTGGTGTAAGTCCTGGAGTCCAGGTGCCTGAGAACCAGGTTACACCTCAATGTCCAGGGGCAGGAGGATGGATGTCCCAGCTCAAGAAGAGAA